CCAAGTTTGTTTTTAAACTCTCATTTCTGCTGTTCATCTCCATGTCCTTATCCCAGGACCATATTTCCTACTGACTGAAGGATTACAGTAGTTGGAACGTTGAGGCTGGGGAGATGGCTCAGCAGCTGAGAGCACTTGCCAGGTTTTTACTTTTATTTCTAATTCATAATTTAACACCTAAATTACTTAAGTAATAGCCCATATTCATGTGAACAATTTGTGCAGGAACTAAGTACTAAAGAATAACAGTGAGGAGCCAGGTACATTGACTTATGGAATCCTAGCACTCAGGAGGCTGAGGCAGGAGGATCATGAGGCCAGTATGAAACAAACAAACAGAGCCCGAAGAGACGGCTGAGCAGGTAAGTACTTATTACCTTTCCAAAAACCCACCTGCAATTGCCAACATACACACAGAAGCTCACAACAGTCTGTTACTCCAGTCCCAAGGGATCTGATGGCCTCCACAGCACATAGTACACAGACATACATAAGGGCAAAACAGCCATACACATAGAAGTTAGTAAATAAATCAAGACAGAGATGGCTCAGTCACTAAAGTGCTTGCCTTACAAGCAGGGAGTGGGTTTCACCCCACAGGACCCCATGTTAAAAAGCAGGGAATGTTTGAATTCCCGCTGCTGGAGAAGTGCTGATAGGAAGATCCCTGAGGCTTATTGACCAATCAGTCTCTAGCATGCTCAGCCAGGCCTAGGCCAGTGCAAGACCTTGTAAAAGGCAGACAGTGTCTGAGGAATGACATCCAAGGTTGTCCTGTGGTGCACACACACACATATACACACACGTACGCACACATGCACACACACACGAATACATACAAGTGCGCGCACACACACACAATCACAGGGAAATAAGCATTCATTCATACACATACAGAAACTCATTCTTTTCAATCAATTTGACAGATTATGAATTCTCAGGGCTGAGGGAAATGGATGGGAAAAAGAAATAACTAAGACAAATTCTGCTTGAGAAGTGCCATAATGCTACCTAATTCTTTCTACGCTGCTACAAATGTGAAAAAGAAAATAATACCCTGCTAGCTGTTCACCGTAGTCCCCTCGACTCAGGTAGCTGAGAAAACAGAAAAGCTCCCTGCTATCAGAAGTTTGATAAAAATATCTCGGCCCTGAGCAAATTGCTCAGTCTTTTTGAGTGTCTGTGTCACCTTAGAAGCATGTAATCTAACCACTACCTGATAATAAAGTTACTGAGGAATGCCATCCAAGGTTGTCATAGCAGTGAAAAGGTGAGAGAAATCTGGATGTCCAATAATAAGAAAACTGCCACAATTATAATAAACATGTACGTTACTTTTTACTGGGACAATTAACAATCATATTTTAAAGTATGCTGAGGAAAATGGCTCCTGTATTTGTTCTGCACACTCACATTTCCATCCTGGCCTCTCTCCTCTTGGCTATCACAATCATCGTAAGTGAAGATAAACCAAAGTAATAAGCAAGTAGCCAGAAGCAAATTCACTTCCTATCTGCCAGTCCATCACACCGGGCTCTCCACCGGTGTCCGTAGCTCAGTGAGAGAGCACTCTCTTTCTCCTTCCCCACCTTTCTGCTTCCTTTCCAGTCTATCGAAGAAGCATGTTAGTATCATTTCCCAGTTCCCTCTCCACTCTGAACACTTCCCGTCATGCTCCCCGGGCATGTCCACTACTTGAGATATTGCAACAATCTCCTAAATGATTAACACCCAGATCCTTTCCCCTACCACCCAAGTCAATTCTTTCTGAAACAACCAGAGTAATTTCCAAACATTCTCCAATCTGATTAAACCTTGCCCCTACTTAAACCTTTTCAATGGTTTCTTTTACTGTTTATAGATAAAATACAAATCAGGAGTTCTATGTGATCAGGACTTCTCCCCTGCCTGGTAATGTGGACACCAGGTCAGGTTTAATTATTTGCCACAGCCTTCCCCACCCACCCACACCCACACTAAGCCAATATCCTTAAATGTTAGTCAAACATTTGTCTTAAAGCAGGCAGACAGAATTTTCTTTTAAAAACAGATTCATTTACCAGTTCACTTCCCGAAGGCAAAGTGGAGTCAATGTTCTAAAGGAGGCCTTTTTTTTAAGTTCTGGAGACTGACCTCTCATATGTCAGGCTAGCAGCACCCTACCCCTGAGCTACAGTCCAGTTCCTGAAATAATCTGGTAGACTTCTCACATCTCTTGTGATTTGTATTCTCTCCTCAGCAATGTAAGAAGAGGGGAGAGGAAGAAGGGTAGGGGGAGAAGCTATGAGGAGCACATTGTGGAGATTTTTATTCAAGTAACACGAAAAGCATTTGTTTGTGAAACTATTTGTGTCACGTATTATTTCCTGAAATTTGAAAACTTTCAGCCATCCAGGACTAGAATACACAGTGCATCCTAGTAGGGAAATCAGGGCAGCCACAGAGGGAGGGAGCTGGTTCCGCTGACTCTGTCATTGAGAAACAGAGAGGCACGGATAGTGTATATTGTGCTAAGCTTGCTTTCCATTGTATTCTGTCCAGGACTCCAGCCCGTGAAATACTAATGTCCCCATACAGGGTGGGTCTTCTCACCTCAATTAACGGAGTCTAGCTAATCCCTTACAGGCATGCCCAGCGATGTCTCTCCATGATGATTCTGAATCCCATCAAGGGGACAATCAAAATTAACCAATACAGCAAAATATGGACGAATAGCTATCTGATATTTATCTACCTCACCAGATTGCATGCTTTATCAGATTAAAGTCGTCTTTACTTAGGTATGTTTGAGATCAAGTCTGACTTTCTTCTTCAGACTGGCCTCCAAATTGTGGTTGCTCAGAAGATCCTTTGCCTTTGAGGCTGGAGAGATTGCTCAGAGGTTACGAGCTCTGGCTGCTCTTCTGACCCAGGTGCCATCTCTAGCGCTCATGTGCTGGCTCAGAGCCATCTCTAACTCCAGCTCCAGGAGCTCTCATGTCCTCCCTGGCTCCCTTTGGCCCCAGACAGGCACATAATGCAGAGGTGCAAAGGGAAGCAAAACAGCCACACACACAAAATAACAATACATCTTATTTAAAAGCTCCTCTACTTTAAACCTCCAGAGTATTGAGGACCATAGAACCTAGCATGGTGGCACACAACTGTAATCTCAGATTTCCAAGGCAGAGACAGGAAGACTGATGCCAGTTCGAGGTCTGCTGTACTTTGGAGTGAGTTCCAGGCCTGTTACGGCTGCAGAATGAGAGCCTGTCTCAAAAACAACAAACAAAACAAAAGGAACATAGTTGTTGGGACTATTTGTTGAATCACTATTTATGAAATACCTAGCCTGGCAAATGCTCATTCATAAATGACTTTAAGCAACTTGTTTAAACAATCTAGCACTACCATAGATGGAGACACAAACAATGAATGCAAACAGCAAGCCTCAGATGAGCAGAGAGCAAGCATTCTTTAAAAGTGTGTGTATGATTTACTTACATGTATGTCTGTACACCACATGTATGCAGTGACTGAGGGGGCCGAAAGAAGATGTCAGATCTCCTGAAACTGGAAGTATAGACCGTTGTTAGGTATCTTATGAGCTCCGAGAATGGAACTTGGGTCCTCTGGAAGAGTAGTCAGTGTTCTTAACCACTGAATCATCTCTCTAGACCTAAAGATGTCTGTTGCTGTTGTTTTTCAAGACAAAGTTTCTCTGTGTAACCCTGGCTATCATGGAACTCACTCTGTAGATCAGGTTGGCCTGGAATTCAGAGATCTGCTTGCCTCTGCCTCCTGAATGCTGGTATTAACGGTGTGTCCCACCATCACCTGGCTCTCTAAAAATTTTTTTAATTATATTTCTTTTAAAATTCTGCTTTGTTGTTTGAACCACTAAGAATGTGTGGCTTGAGCCATGTGTGGTGGTGCACGTCTTTAATCCCAGCACTCAGGAGGCAGAGGTAGGTGGTTCTCTGTGAGTGCAAGGCCAACCTGTTCTACAGAGTGAGTTTTAGGACAGCAGAGCTGTTTAACAGAGGAACTTGTCTCAAAAAGAAAAAAAATATATTTATTGCATGTGGTGAGAGACGCAGAGTGCTTGTCTAGTGTGCACAGAGCCACGATTTTGATCGCTAGTACCACATAAATTGGAGATACAAGCCAGTAATCCAGTAGGAAGATCAGAAATTCAAGGTCTTCCTGTATGGGCAACATAGTGCCTTATGTCTTGGACTGGAGAGATAGCTCGGGACTTGCGGCTCTTCCACAGGAGCAGAGTTCAGTTTCCAACACCCACAAAGATAGTTAAAAAAACGCTTGAAGCTCTAGCCGTAGGGGATTCGTTGTCCTCATCTAGCATCCAAGAGCACCTACACACAGGTGGCAGACACACATACACAAGTAAAAATAATAAATCTTTGATATCTTATTTCTTAAGTAAATAGCCCAATAGGGGCGTGGTGAGGGACCTGTAATCCCAAACACTCAGGAGGCAGGAGCTGCCCCACATAGCAATATGGTTTCAAACACACAGAAATTCAGAAAAACAAACAAAAAATAAAAAACCTTGGTAAATTCAGAGGGCCCTGGGTACTGCCAAGAAATGGATCTGGATGGAATGTGTTTGTTTCTAGATGGGAAAGAGCTGAACAGAGTACATTTCTGAGTGAAGTGAGAAAGCACCATCAGCTTAGAAACACGAGCAGTGGATGCGACAAAGAGGCGCCCGGCCTCAAGACCCCCACATTTTAAGCAGCGAGAGGCGACGCTGCACCTGCCCGTCGGAACAGTTTCCGAAGTACGAGGCCAACTGGACAAGAGTGAGATTGTTGAGCTCGCCCGACTGCTGAGAAAGAGAGGGGAGTTGGGGAGAATAGACAGCGGGACTTGATTTCCGGCACACTACCGGAATACACAGCCAATGACAGCCGTCGCCGAGAGCCCCACCCCAAGGCGGGGCTGAGCCGGAAGAGAAACAGTCCGCCGGAAAGGGAGGGGCCACGCTCTGGAAAATCCCTTGCGCCGCTCTCACGCTCTCACGTCAGTAGAGGGCGGAAGCGCAGACTACAGGATGCGGTTCCTGGTTGCGTTGCTCCTGCTGAGTGTCGCGGTGGCGAGTAAGGGTCCCCACCCCAGCCCATCTCACTGTCTCCCTTAGGTTCCCCATTCTTCATCTTGGTGGGTCGCCTCGGGGCTGGCGTCTTTCTTGCCCGACCCGACCCTCCTCTAGCCATCTCCACCCTTCCATTCGGCCGTCACCGCTAGGCTCTCAGAAGTCAAGCCCCCTTCTCTGCTCCCGGCCTTTTCTTCCGAGGACTTACTGCTTTTTCTGTTTCAGGAGCTCTGTCGTCCGCTCCTCAGCGACGCATCATCTCAGGTGAAGAGACTCCTCCGATTCCGTCTTCCACAGATAACGGCTCCACGTCCCTGCCTCCTGGGGTTAACCAGGGAAAGACTAACAGGCAGAACGATCAGAGGCAGAAGTCGGATAAAGAAGACCAGGACAATACGCTGGGGACGACTAAAGCAGCAGTTTCCAGTAAGGCGGAATCGGGTGAGCAGACCGATCTCAGTTTGGGTGATAACAAAAGGCAGCCTGAGACAGGTGCCAAGTCGGCGGAAACTGAGCAGCAGCTCTCACCAGTCGGCGCCAAACAGGAAAAGCCTCGTCAGAATCCCACAAAAGATTCAGGCAAGCCCACAGAAGGTGTTTCTGACAAGCCTCCAAAAGAGGGTTCTGACAAGCCCACAAAAGAGGATTCTGACAAGCCCACAAAAGAGGATTCTGACAACCCCCCAAAAGAGGGTTCTGACAAGCCCCCAAAAGAGGATTCTGACAACCCCACAAAAGATTCTGACAACCCCCCAAAAGAGGATTCTGAGAAGCCCTCAAAAGAGGATTCTGACAAGCCCCCAAAAGAGGATTCTGACAAGCCCCCAAAAGAGGGTCCTGACAAGCCCTCAAAAGAGGATTCTGACAACCCCCCAAAAGAGGGTTCTGACAACCCCCCAAAAGAGGATTCTCACAAGCCTCCAAAAGAGGATTCTGACAAGGCCACCTCCAAAATCTCCTCAGATACGGAGACTCCGAAGAATGACAAAGTCCAGCTAACTGAAAAAGGACAGAAATCAACACTTATTTCCAAAACTGAATCTGGGGAAAGACTGGCAGGGGACTCTGACTTCTCTTTAAAGCTGGAGAAAGGAGATAAGTCTTCAGAGCCTACAGAAGATGTGGAAACCAAGGAGATTGAAGAGGGTGATACTGAGCCAGAAGAAGGCTCACCACTTGAAGAAGAGAATGAAAAGGTGTTGGGCCCTTCCTCCAGTGAGAACCAAGAGGGGACACTTACAGATACTATGAAGGATGAGAAGGATGACCTTTATAAGGACAGTTCTGGAAACACCAGTGCAGAGAGCAGCCACTTCTTTGCATATCTGGTGACTGCTGCTGTTCTTGTTGCTGTCCTCTATATCGCTTACCACAACAAACGGAAGGTAAGAGGGGACTGGAATTTCCAGAACCCTGAGTTCTTTGTGCATGGGCAGCTATCTGTCACTCATCTGCCTATGGGCTCTGAGGGTTTTAAGATCATCTTCATTTTTCCTTAGACCCTGCTAGGGCTTACAAAACTGTACGTTTTGTAAATCATGTGTTTTCATCATGTGATCTGTTTCCTCTGAGTTCTGCTTGTAAGGTGCCAAGTTGGATGTGAATCATGACCTGACCTAATTGTAATCCCGTCCCATAAGATCATTCACAGCCTCTGTGAGCCTGACTTCTTGACATGTAGACCTCTCCCCTTTTCCATTCTTGAGATAGTTTACCATCTCTAGCTTCTATTCCACCTGTCTTCATCTGGAGGCAGGAAGAATATTGTCAGTGATGTAGTCTCTAGCACCAGAAGTATAAAGCACAAGGACGGCTCTTCTGCAACCAACAAGAGTTAAAGCAAACCTAGAGATATATAGATGTGCACGTCTTTGCAGTTAAAGTACAACCCATGAAAAAGCTTCAGAGACAACTCTGATGATAAAATTATTGTATTTCCTAATGAGCCATGAGATCTAGAAGACAATTTCAGTAACGACTTACTGAAGAGTTCGGTTTGTGATAGCCATTGGGCATATGGCTATAAAGAATGTGGGAAGAGTGTACATTCTTCATTTTACATCCAAATGTCCATGATGAGAGCAGTAAATTAGAGAAAAGTTGTTGAAACAATGTGTGGGAGCAAAGCATGTGTTTGTAGACAGGAAACAATCAGTAATTATTTCTTCCCTTAAATACCTGACCTAGAACTCTCTGGCAAAAGGACTGGCAGACCTTTAACTGTATCCTTACAATTAAATCATACAGATTTCCACAGGCCTCAGCCTCCATCTCTTAGTCGTACTAAGGTAGTACAAAGGATTTCATTGTAACCAAGCCCCTTTTAAAATCTTTACAATTTATTACTTTTGTGGTGCTGGAGGTTGAACTCTGGTTACCTGCATGCTAGATAGTTGTTCAACTATAGTGTTGTATCACATGCTTGATACAGCATTTGTCTGTTATGCACAAGGCCATGTTTGCACTCCAGCACTGAAAAGAAAGAGTGTGTGTGTGTGTGTGTGTGTGTGTGTGTGTGTGTGTAAAATTTAATTAGGCTTCTTTGTAGATCTAGGTAACTGCTTCTGATTTCAGGAACTGAAGTACATCATTACAGAGTCAAATGTTAATCTGTTTTCTTTGTCTTTCTCTCAGATTATTGCTTTTGCCCTGGAAGGAAAAAGATCCAAAGTCACTCGGAGGCCAAAGGCCAGTGACTACCAGCGTTTGAACCTAAAGGTAAGGAAGTAGAAGCCAGGTCTAGTAGGGATATGCAGCCTCAGGTGGGACAATTCTGGAGATGCTGCAGCCATTGTTCCTAGCCCTTGGAGACTGCAAATAGGACCATGCATACACTGCATATGTATCTAGAATGGTAGAGATAAATAGGCCTTTCAGTACTTTCACAGTTAACAGATAAACAGATCAGCCTGGAAATGTGATTCTGTTTATTTGTTTTCTTCCCACGTTTCCACTCAGAGGCAACACTAGCACCTGATAGTAATTCTATAAGCTTTTAAATACTCTTTTTTTCACTATGTCAGCTTTTGACACACAAATACTGTGATAAACACTGAACATTGTGATAAAAGCCAAATCTGATTCACTGAGTATGAGATAGAACCTATCGATCCTCATTTTGAGGGGATTACTAAAGGCTGCCAGACCACACTTTGGGCAGCAAAGCCTTAAATCACACTCCCTTAAAGCAGGTGAGACAGAACTACATAGGCCTTAAGTAAACCCACCGCGGCCTGGTCCTCCTGATTGTGGCCAGTCTGCCTCTGCCAGGAGAGGAGCCTTTTTTCCATCCAACAGTAGCAGGAGCCGAAGAAGGTTCTCCCCACAGGTAACTGTATAGTCAGTCATATTAGGTGGCTACAACAGGCACCTGCTCTCTTCTGTTAAGCAACAGGAAGGACAGAGACAAAGAACAGTTGATGAGTTGAGATGGGAATGGTTCCCAGACTTCCTACAGGGAACAGTTCACAGCAGTATAGAATAACCCAGCCAGCTCAGAACATGTGTCATGAATAGGTCAACCTCACAGTTAGCTCTAGCTCTGCTACTTTCCTTGATAATTGACTTTAACGATTTTTCCTCCTTAATTTTGTTTTAGTGGGAAGAAAGCAATACACATGAAAATTATTCAGAATAATATAGTAGAGTATAAAGTAGAAGCCAGTAATTCTATCTGCCTACCATCAAATGTGGTGTACCACATGTGTGCCTGGTGCCAGTAGAGGACAGAAGAGGTAGTTGGATCCCTAGAACTGAAGTTAAGGACAGTTGTGAACCACTATGTAGGTGCTGGGAAACAAACTCCACTCCTTTGCAAGAGCAGTGTGTGTTCTTAAGTGCTTAGCCATTTCTCCAGCTTACTTTATAAAAAAAAAAAAAATCACCCAATGAATTTCATTAGGGGTTGATCACAGAAGCATGGGTACCTTAGCAATGGCTACCCGACTGAAGAAAATACCTCTTACTCTCTTATCAGCAATTAGTTAGAGATAATCTCTCACTGTAGCTTAAGACTCATGATATTTGCTGGCTTACAATTCATAATCTTCCTACCTCTGCCTGAGTGCTGGGATTATAGATATGAGCCACCATATTAGCTAAATATATGACTTTCAGGTACATATCTTATTTCTAATTTACTTTAAAACTCACTAATGTGACTCATGCACTCTTATTAACTTTTATCATTTATTATTAACTGTTTCATGGTGGTGGATGAGTTTGTCTTATTAACATATTTCCCTGAGAAAGATGTGTGTTATCAACCAAATGTGTTGTTCTCATTTCAGCTTTGATTTTTATTTTATCTGCAAGAACCTTGTCCTCCCTGCTGATTTGTTTCCGAATCAAGAGAAATGGAAAGACTGTGACCTCTGGGGTTTGGTGGCAAGTCTGGGCTGGCAGAGATGGGATTGCTTCAGGTTTTGCACCTGCACTTTGATGACATTGTCCTCTGGTGATGTTTTATTTACTTTTGTGTTCCCTTTATGCTGATGTATTCCATCATCCTTTCTTCCTTGGAGTGCAAGTGGAGGGAGCGTGTGGAAACATGGCTGTGACCAAAGGAAGACCCCACCTTAGGCAGGCCACACAATGGACCATTGTCCCATAGCCTCTTTATCTTTGCAACTCTAGGGAGCAAACTGTATAGAGAGGTGCTTTCTAGACAAGATGTAGAAGATGGTTATGTGGAGTGCTGATGGGCAAAGACGGAGTTGAATATTTATTCTCTACAGGGGTCTCAGCTGCAAACCAGACTAGCATGTTAAAGAGTATTAAGTCTGATCCATCTGATAGTTGGTGTATTTCTCTGAAAGTTTGCACTCTAGTTATACTAGCATAAAAGAGACTTGAGGCTTCTGAAAGTAAAGTCTTTTTTAAAATATGGAGATGATCATTGAACTGGTGTGTTCTTGCACGCAGTCACCCCAGTAGGAACTTCCTGGAAAGGGGTAGGTTCATGCTTTGTGGAAGAAAACACATAGGAAGGATTTGGTATGCATGAAAGAGGTTTTCTACAAATTGAGGTTTGCCTTGATTGCCTGCAGAAGATAGATATTTAGAAACTAACTGCACTCTTCACACTCCTCCTTGCTGTTGAAGATGCCCAGGGAGTGAGTAAAATCTTTCCTATCCTGTCATATCTGGTCATGAAACTGTAAAAAACCAAGTAGGTTCCCTGAGATAACCGAAGATGTCTTGGCTTGTGCTGTGTTTTAAGTTTTATTCCAGTCTATTTGGTTACGCCTAAAGAGAGAAAAATCTCAGCTAATCTCAGGGATGTAGAGGGAATGAGAAGAGTCCTGTGCTGTTGGAGAAATCAGTCTAAAGAAGAAATGGTCTTGGAGTTCTTTCCCCATGCTGACTGCAGCATGTGCTTGAAGTTGAAGTTCGTATTCTTAGCATTCTAGAAATAAGGTCATTGCTACTATTTTCTCAACTGTCCACAAGTCTTCTATTACTATTTTCCAAGCCAAGAAGCCTTTTTCAGTCTCCTTCAGCTTTCTCTAAAACCTCTTTAGTTCCCCACTTCCATTTTCTCTTCCTCTTTAGACTTGTTTGTACACCTCTGAATGAACACCTTCCCTTATAGCCTGTATGCATGCCCATACCTGTCCTGTTTTAGTTAGTGTTGCTTCTATTACCTGCCGTCCTCTTCCTGACATTTACAGGTTTGCCTTGATCTGTTTTCTTCCTGTTTCTCAAGGTTACTCAGTTAATATCACCAAATTCAACAGTTCATTTTCACAGCTTATAACATTTGGTAATGATGGATGCTGGGGCTTATGATGTTGACATTTGGCGTGTCTCTTGTACATTGTCCTTTGCCTTATCTTACGGGGGTTGGGGGAGGGTGCCCAGGTCTTTATTGCTTTGTCTGTCTCAATAAATCCATCCATTCTGTATCCTTTCGGTGACTCTTATTTTGTTTGGCCTCCTTCCCAAGAACCCAGTTCTGCTATATGCTAAATAAGTCAGCCATACTGTCAGGTGACACAACCGGAGTTTCTCTCTTGTACCTATTACACTCCTCTATCTATCCTTCAGTTTCTTTAATCATCTGAAAACTCCATACTATAAACTAATAACATTTTTATCATCACAGAAGTCCAAATTGTTTTTTCTGTTTTTAAGAAATTATATCTCGGTATACTCTCCATTAATTTTCAGGAACCAGGTGAATTGACCTTACCAGTTTTGGAAACAGTGATCATTCCAGAATGTGCTCTTGTCTGAAGCTTCTGTCTGAAGTTATATTCTAGACTACAAATTCCTACTTGGCTTCACTGTCCGGCACTCTGTCTCTGCCTCTGCCCTCATCATGCCCTTTGTATTCCAGATTTTCTTTTCTTTTCTTTTCTTTTTTTGTTTTGGTTTGGTTTTTTTTCGAGACAGGGTTTCTCTGTGTAGCCCTGGCTTTCCTGGAACTCACTCTGTAGAGCAGGCTAGCCTTGAACTCTCGAACTCAGAAATCTGCCTGCCTCTGCCTCCCAAGTGCTGGGATTAAAGGCGTGTGCCACCACCACCTGGCTGTAGTTCAGATTTTCAAGGTTGCTGTATGGTTAGGCTGTTCCCCTCCTTTCAGCTTACCCAGGTCCTTGTGTTTGGAATATGCGTAGTGTTCCTTCCTAGATTCAACACACTTGATTAGCTTTTTCCATTCCACACTGATAGCTCTTACTGTCACCCTCATCTTGAAACTTCAGCGTGACATAGTTCTGATGTCCCGTGATCTCCCCCATGAAAACAAAGCTCTGAGAGATAGCCATTGCCATTGTTATATCAGCCAGGGACCTTAGGCATCAAATTTCCTATTGGAGGTGTAGCTGAAACTGGGGCTCACATAGCTCTTCCTGGCTACTGCTTGTTATGACCTTATACTTGTTGACTCTTGCTCTTGAAGGACAGGAAGGAAGGTTGATTTTTAGTAACAAAGACTGACAGTGAATGGACAGCCGCTTGAAGGATTGCCAGAGTCTACAAAGTCTCACCCTCTATGGGCTGCTGACAGAGTACAGTGGAATTTGTTTTCACTTGAGAAGTTGCACTGAAGAAAATGGCTCCCACCAAAGAAAAGTTACTTTTAGGACTTTTTGTTGTTGTTTTGTTTTTTTGAAGGTAGACTACTTGAAGCATATTTCCTAGAGTATGTGTGGATGGTAATGGTCCAGCTGAGGTATCTATACCACGGGCTGGACTGGCATGTAAGAAGTACGTGAAGCCTCAAGTAGCACTCCTGTAGACCTTTCTGAGCTTGCTCTGCTGCTCAGAGTTTGGCTGAAGGGCAATTTCTTAAGGGGAACCTGCTTGAGGTATAACTGTTAATACTTTGTTTTCCTGCTATGGATTATAGAAGCCAGTTCTGGACAACAACTAACAAAATGTGCTAACATGTTTTCCCCCAGAGCTCTGTGCCCTTCAGAATTCCCCTGGTAGTGATGCTCACTCTTGTTTCTTCAGGGCATGGTATACTTTGCACATATCTTGAGCCATTTGAATGCAGAGAAGGATGTGCCAGGCTCTGTGCCCTGTCAGATAGTTTCTCAAAACTGCTTACTAGGAAGATTCTGTTTGGCATTACCTTAAGAAAGCTGTAAAGAGTCATGCATGGTGATGCATGTCTTTAATCTCAGCACTCTGGAGGCAGAGGCAGAAGGATCTCTGAGTATGAGGCCAGCCTAGTCTAGAATACCAAGTTCAGGCAGTTAAATTTTGTCTCAAAACAAAACAAAGCAGTAAAGAGATGTTGAAATTTAAATACATCATGATGGCTCAGTTTGTTTAGTTCCCTGCTCAGATGTGACTCTTAAGTATTTTAGCTTAGAAACTGTAATTTGAACCTCAGCCTGCATAGCATAGCAAACTACCCATGAAGCTGGCCTCCTCACACTGTTAGGAATTTAATTCAGACTACCATGTTAAGTAAACAACTGAATGTTGAAATTATTTTCCTTGTCTTGTCATCCAGTTAGATTGCCACTGTTAGCCATGTTTTGTGTTTTCACCTTTTTTGTAACTTAACTGTAATGGCTTAATTTTATTTTTTTAAAGCTTACTGTGGTATAATAAGTATTTTTCAGTATATTTTACTGAGCTTCTGTAAATGGCATCACAGCATAGTTTCGTGTTATTGTTGAACAGAAATCAATAAATTTCAGATCTCAAAGCACTGAAATGTGTTAATACTATATTATTACAGATTAATACTATATTATTACAGATTAATATCGGTCCCTTTTAACACAAATGAAAGGTTCTAACTTTTATTCATCTTCCCATTTATCCGTAGAGATTGAGCGTCTCTACTCTGAAATCAGAGCAGGCTTTTTCAACTATAGCATGAACTCATGTGACAGGTCAGAATGCTCAGTTTCTCAGAATATTACCTAAGATGTTGTGTCTGATCTATACATATGGAACAAATGAATTTGTGGTTTAGTTCTAGGTCCCATTCCCCAAGTTATCTCATGTGTATGCAAATACTACAAAATCTGAAATAATTCTGACTACAAGCATTTTAGAAAACAGATATACTCAGGTTTTGGTTTGATTTGGTTTTTGAGACAGGTTTTCTCTGTGTAACAGAGCCCTGGCTGCCCTGGACTTACTTCATAGACCAGGCTGGCTTCAAATTCAGAGATCTGTCTGCCTCTGCCTTCTGAGTGCCGGGATTAAAGGCTTGTGCCACCACCACCTAGCCTAATAACTCAGTTTTAATATGTGCCAGCAACTACAAATGCCATCTCTAGGCTTTGTGCGCATCAGGCTTCCTGTTTGGGGCCTAGTGTCTCCACTCCCATTCTCTCGCTACCAGCCTGGCCATTCTCTAGTGAAGATCTCAGCTGGCTAGTGTGTGAGACATTTCATAGGTAGTGGTATCTTCTGATGCATCCTTGACTTGGAATGTTCCTTTAGCCCGATTCTATCAGGATAAAACTTAGAGCCGAGGGTTTCTTGGATCTGGCATTTGGAGAGAGTTGCTACTCCAAGCCCATACTAGTCCTCCTTTCCCCTTAACAGTACAGAGCAGCACAACACTAGAGTGGGGAGGAGCAAAAAGCTTCAGGGTAGGACTGGACCAACCTATTCCAGTAGCCAACACCCTCAGGGGTTCTGTGTGCCTGACCCTAGCTTGGAGTTGGATGTAGGAAAGGCATGGGAGCACTCTTCATGAGACATCAAGGCTACGTATCCCACACTAGGCCTTGAGTAGAAATGCAAGGTAAAGAACTCTTGACTTACAACAGTTATTAGAAACACAATGGTTTTTGTTTATCTGTGCAAGGAATTGCTGTAGGAGGACAGCACGAGAAGTTGGGGAGGTGCCGTTCCTCTCGCTCATCTCTGAACAGACTACATCTTCTTCTTTTGTGCCCTGACCTTTGAGCCAAGAGCCTGCAGATCTGAGTACAAGTTCCGTTTCAGGATGGCACTGCTGCACAGCAAGGCCCCTTGCAGAGCCCCGATCAGCCCACAGGTGAAGATGTCTTGGCCTAGGACGCAAAAGCAATGACCCATGAATGTCTACCCCCATGAGGATGGGAGTAACAAGGGTTCCTGTGTTCATCTCTCCATATCAAGGCCACCCTAAGAGAGACAGCTTCAGATAGAACCCAGAACGATAGCCAGCCAAGGCAGCCCAGCTCCTGGTATAGGCTTCTGGATGAGGACAAAAGACTATGCCAGGGAAGCCCAGATTCTGGCAAAGAGAGGCAGTGTACCTGTCAGGTAGAGGTTGGGGATGGGGGTTTGGGCTCTCATGGAAGCCATCGCATGAGGATGCAGACGAGCCAGGTCATGGTCAGCCCCATAGGTAGCTCCTCGGGGTGCAGCCAGATAGTACTGGTTGGTCAGTGGGGATCCTCCAGTCACACTCTCCACCTGAGGAGGCAAAGGGACAAGGCAAGGGTGAACAAGGGAATTTGCAAAGGCCTGATCCTTCCTTGGGACTCTTGTTACTTTGGGCTTTATTCTTGTACCAAAGACAAGACAGTTAAGGGATGTATTGTCGCCTCCAGCACTGTAAATGTCAGCCCGTACCTTGCCTTCCAGCTGTGGGAACAGTTTCATGATCACTGACATAGAGGCTTCCAGGAAGGCATTTTTGAGGGTTTCATAGTCAACACCTCGCTTGCCCTTTGGCTCCTCCTGCCACTCCTCGAACCATTCAAAGGCCATGGGCACCAGCACAGTCATTGTGGATCGGTCTGCAGGTATAAGGCCGTGTTATTGCTACTTGGCCCTGCCTTGCCCTACACCCAGCTTCCCTGGACCTCAAGCCCTACCTGGGAATCGGTCTTCCCAGGTTGGATCCTTGCTTGATGGGAAGGCGATGAAGAGAAGGGGAATGTGTTCTGGAGCCTTTTCCCTGGGCATAGAGACATAGCGCTCCATCCTGTGGATGAGGGAGGGGGCATGACTGCCAATCTCTGGGCCTTTTTCCTCAAAGCCACCAGCACTACCCAAATGATGGTTCATCTCCAGGGACTTCCCACAGGGGAGAAACCAGCACAGCTTTGGCTTTGGTATAGAAAGCCTTTCTAGGAGTCCATTGGAGACTGCACCTCCTCCCTCAACACACATCCTTCTTATTCCTAGAACAGTGTCAAGGGTAGAAGCAGGGTCTTGTGGGATGAGGCCCAGTGTTATCACTCTTCCCCACCCCCTCACATATCTTACGCTTTGTCCATGTCTGTGTCAAAATAAACATAGTAGTTGGTGGACTGAAGTTTCAGGTCCTGCTTGGTGCCTTTCAGACAGATGAAAATTGAGAGCATGCTCAATCCAGGCCTTACCATCGCCAGCTGCTTCTTCACATCTGCAGAGAGAGCCAGTGAGGATTGCTTTGCAGGAGTTATGAGCAGACAGCCAGTCCCGCCCAGGACAGCCTCAGGATGTTCCCTTTTCTGATCTGCAGCTTGATCTCAGCCGCCAGCTAGGACAGAGACCTGGCCATTTTTATTTTTATAGGATCCTGACAGGGACCTGCTCTTCCTGGCTATGTGAGATGTAGCCTCAGACTCCTTCCAACTCTGCCACCTCTGCTCCATGTCCCCTTAGACAGAGGTGCTGGTTTCCTGCTGATCCAGAGCAGAGCTAACTCACAGCACCACTGGACAATCAGGCCATTTCAACCTTCTTCTTTATACTTTTAGCTTTTTCTTTAATTATAGATATATATGGATAAAGCCTGTCAGGATGTGCAAGAAGCCAGAAGACAACTGTCTTCTTCCACTCTGGGGGTTTAGCAGCAAGGACGTTTTACACTCTGAGCTATCTCAGTGGCCCTTGTTTGTTGAGGCAGGGTCTCGTGTAGCCAAGAGTGACCTTGAATTTCTTGTCTTCCTGCTGCCACCTCCAGAGTGCTAGGATTATAGCCAAGTCCACTACAGTTGTCTTACCTGGTTCTAGGTAAACCTAGGGCTGATGTAAGCACTCTAACCAACTGAACTTCATCCCCAGCCTTTGTCTGTCCTTTAACTGAGGACAGGCTTTTGTTTCTCAGCCCAGAAGTACAAAGGAGACATTTGCACCTAACAAAACAGTCCTCAGAGCTCTGCCACTGCCTCGATGAAGAACTCCTCTTCCTCTCTAGTCCTAGGTTCCCCAGATATAAATGTTATGTTCCTAGTAACACAGACCAGAGATAGAAAGCTAGAGGGGTGCCCAAGAAGAGGGGAGCTCACCCAGGCTGGGCTTATCAGCTCCAGAGATGAAAGTTCAGAAGACCAGTCTTTTACCTGGCAGAGAGCGGACAGTCTCGGGCAACAAGTGCTGATAGGTATTGAACATTCCTGCATTGGAGATGACAACTGGGCAATAGATGTTCACCAGCTCTTGTCCCTTCTTCACACTGACACCTGCAGGCACAAGAATTTGGCTGAGCTTCTGTGAGCTCTGTGGAGACAAAAAAGGCCTACACCCTTCTGCATATCTCTCTCAAGGGCTAGGAATATAACTCAGTTGTATAGTGCTTGTCTAACGTGTTCTGGGTGTTAGGTTCCGTGCACCCCCTACCCACCATAAAACAAACAAAACCCAGGAAAGTGTGAAATGCATCTCTCAGAGCATTAGCTGTAGTCACGCCATGATGACATATTCCTGTAATCCTAGCATTTAGGATGTAGAAGCAGGATAATCAGGAATTCAAATTCACTAGCCTCAGCTAGAGAGTTTGAGGCTAGCCTGGACCACATGAAATCCTGCCTCAAAATATTAGTTCTGACTTTAGAGACACTATCAAGATGTCTCCTAGGATAGGCCCTATTTTCTCAGACCTAGAAGCTCCTCCAGCCAAAGCAGGCCCCAGGCACACTGCAGAGTCACTTAGCCCTTGCCTCAGACACCTCTGTGCTTACCTTCTCTAGCTCTTCTTACCCACCCATATGGACTTGCTTATCTTTAGCCATGTCCTGCCAGCCCCTCCTTCACTGCTGCCAAGTTCTACCTCCACAGTACTCCTCAGGTGACTAGACCTACTTGAAACACCAAAAGTTCTGCGATGTACTGTAGCCTGTGTGTCCAACCTCATCTGTTGCCACTCACAAAACCATTATGTCAAACCTGACCTTTTGTAAGAATTGGAGTTTGATTCTTTAATTTTGTGTGGGGGTAGGAGTACTACAACCTATGTATGAAGGTCAGAGGACAACTTGACAGTTCTCTCCTTCCACCATGTAGGCTGTGGTCATCAGGTTTAGTCACTAGAACATTTATCCACTGAGCTATCTCACCAGCTCAGATTCCAGCCTCTTACCTTGCATAAACAGGCTGGCTTCCACCCCAGCCCACTGACCCCACAGCTCAGTGCAGATCTCTTACCACACGCTCTCCCAGCTGAGTCCAGCAACACACTCTGTACAGTGGCCCTGGTGAGGACAGCGCCCCCTGCCCGCTGGATCAAAGGGATGGTATGGAAGGCGATCTCACTGGAACCCCCTCGAGGGTAATATGCCCCTTGTATGTAGTGGTCAACCAGCAGAGCGTGCAAGGAAAAGGTGGTATGGCTGGGGGTTACGCCTACAGAATGAAGACGGAAAGAAAAGATGAGCAAGAGTGGTCACTTGGCACCATTCTGGAAAAAACGGGGCTTCCTGTGAAGCACCACATGGGTCCATCCTAGGATCCAAATGCCCCTGAAGGCCCAGGGTAGCTAGTGAGCTTAGTGGAATATAAATATACTCCCTGAAAACCATTATGCTTCTAAAACCAAGGAAGTCACTGACACTGTTGGCTAAAGAGAAAAATCGACCTTAAGCAGTGTGATAATACCTGGCTACAATCTCAACACTCAGAAGCTAAACCAGAAAGATCGTTGATGTAAAGCCATACTAGGCTATAGAGAGATCCAGACTAGCCTGAACAAAGTCAGAACTTGTCCTGGAGGTGTGGGGGTAAGGGAGAAAATGCACTTGGGTGGGCTCAGTTAGCCGATGCTTTCCTAACATGCATGAAAGCCTGATTTGATCTCCAGCACCACATACACTAGACATGGTGGCACATACCTGTAATCCTAGCACTAGGAAGGTGGAGGCAGAAGGATCAGGAATTTAAGGGCATCCTCAACTACAAGAGTTCAAAGCTTGCCTGGAAGACCTTGTTTTCAAAAAGGAGGAGGAAAAACAAAATTTTGAGGGGGAGAAGAAGAAGAGATAAAAGGGAGAAGAAAAAAAAGATATATTCCAGAAAGTAAGTAAAAAATTATTTGGTAGAAATTATTACAGAAACTTATCCACAAACTCCTGCAGGCCTGGGATCTATTCTGGCTTGTTTCCGCTAGGCAGTAGGAAAAGAAAGACCAAAGCTGGGAGAGCAGCAACTTAGGAAAGCCTGGGCTGACAGCCACCCACCGTAAGTGGGGAAGATGTAGCTGAGCACAGCCTGGAGCTCACGGGAAGCCCCAAGCTGCTGCAGGACTTCGGCCAGGCTCTGCGTAGACGCTCGGCAGAATGGAGAGAAACGAGTCAGCAGCCCAAACTTGTTGAGGAGCTGAGTCAAGGGCAATGGGAGGAACTTGAGTAGGATGGCATGAGAGACTCCATTGGCCACCACCTGGGGGAAAAAAAGGTAGAGTGCGTCTCAGCTCTGGAGCGCTGCAGCCTAGTCACCACTGCAGCCAGCACTGACTCAGGCCCGCAGCACTTACTCAGAATTTTTGGACTTGAAAAAATTTAATCCAGGCAGGTATGGTGGCTCAGGCCTGTGACCCCAACAATTGAAATGCTACAGCAGGAGGATTGCCATAAGTTCAAGGGCAACCAGAGCTATACACTGACATACAAGCCAGGACTATATAGCAAGACTGTCTCCCTCACCACAAAACAATAACAACAAAATGGGCCCTAAGCTTTTCTCATTCTTTACACTCAAATGAGACTTTTTGCTCTTCCATTTACTGCTCCAAAAAGTATTGTTTTCATATATATATGTATATGTGTATATTCATATATATATATGAATATATCCAAACATTCAGGAACTCCTGATTCTGCTTCTACCTCCCCAATGCTGGGATTATAAGCTACACCATCATATCCAGTTTATGGGGTGCTTGGCATCAAATTCAGAGTCGTATGTGCTAAGCCTGAGCCCCAGCCCCAGCATTCAGATTCCTTTCAAACATCTCAGTTCAGAAACCAGGTGTGATTTCTGTTGAGTTCCAGACCAGCCAGAGCAGCATTGTAATACTCTACTTCAAATACACAAAACAACAAGTCTGGCTCATCTCAGAGGACATCCAAGTTCCTCAAAGCCTGACTTACCAAGGGTACCATCTAGAGGCCAGAGTGAAGGTAGCAGCTGGGGAGCCAGGCAGGGCACAGACATACACAAGTGTACACTGGAACCAGGACAGACATGACTATCTAGTCCTTCTTGCCACTCCAACTCAACCCTCTTTCCTACCCCACCAGTTACTTCTCTAATGAAAAGGCCAGTTTTGTTGGAAATAAACTACGGATGCTGATCATGATGCATGCTACCTTAACCAACTCCATGTACTTGTCAATGACAGCTTCTTCCTTGGGGAACTTCTCCTTAAGGCCCTGGATGTATTCTTTCCTCCCACTGTACATGGGGAACTCCTTTCGGCCATTAGGCCCTTCTAGTATCATCAAGTCAAAAGGGGAGGCCATGGGGGCCCAGTCCAGTTGTCCTTCCGTGATCTGGTCCAAGATAAAACGGCCAATGTTGCCCTCCCGCATGCGTCCAATATAATGAATTCCTGTTGGGAGGTGCAAAGAAAAGGAGATAAAGAGATAAGGGAAGTGGGCCATGGAAATATGCCAAGTAAGGAAGAGGTTGTCCTGTTTGGCTATGTTCATGGCCACAGAGGGCTACCCATCCTTTCTATAGGAAACAAACCAGAACACATACCACCCAATGCTTGTCCAATAACTAGGCCATCAGTCTTCCTTCCTCAGGAGGTGTCCAGAGGAAGTTGGGACCTCCAAAACCTCGAAATGCCCCCATATCACTCAAAAGTGCATGTTCCTAGTCACCTAAAGACAACCCTCGCTCCCAACCCTTTTCCACACAAGCCTTACCAGTGTCAAATTCAAGGCCATTTTCCCCAAAGGTATGACAACAGCCGCCCGCCTTGGTATGTTGTTCCAGCACAAGGACTCTCTTGCCAGCTTTAGCTAGAATCACAGCTGAGGCCAGTCCCCCAATGCCGCTGCCAATCACTACTGCATCCAGCTTCTCTGGTACTCTGCTGACTGAGAAAGCTGTAGAAGGGAGAAGACGGAGGGTGGGCTTCTTAGACAAGAGCAGGAAAGTGAAGTCAGAAGCCTGAGGGTACTTCTCTAGCTTGTATTCTGTCCGCTGTCTCTAAGGCAGCTGGGCATAGCGATGTACTCCTGTGATCCCAGCACTTCAAAGGTAGACTAGGAGTCCAAGATCCTCCCCCGGGAGGCCAGCCTGGGCTCATTAGACCCAGTCTCAAAACAGAGGGAAGAGAGACAGACCTCCCCTCTAGTGTAGTTTACTCTTGACTAAAATATCTCTAAACATTCTACTAGGGAATACATTGGACCAGGCAGGCAGATTAAACAGCAATGAGTCTTAACCCCTACTATGTACCTGAGGGATCTGATACCTTTCAAGGAAAGTAGGAATCAGCTAACTACTATAGAACAAAACCATAAAGATGGCAACAGTACAGGTCTGTAACCTCAGTCCAGATGCTTCTGTGAATACAAGCAAGCAAAGAAAAGATGGCAATATGGCACAGGGTGGGGGCTGGGAGTGCTGGTGCTTCAGGGAACCGGGCTTCTTTGGAAGAAGCAAAGGTCTATGAATGCCAATGGAGGTGGGGCAGGCAGAGCTGCTCAGAAGCTCTGAGAAGTCACAGTACCAGCCTCAGAAAAGGAGGAAGGCTGGTGTGCCAGGACACCTAGCAGAACCAAACTGGAATGCACGATCAACACAAGACCCGATTTTTGTCATTTTCTCCCAGTCTCTTTTTTCCTTTTCTCCTTTATTTACTTATTTTCATTGATTTATTGACTTGGGTTTTTTAGAGACATGGTTTCACTATATATGTAGCCCTAACTGGGCTGGAATTCCCTATGTAGAGATCCACCTGCCTCTTCCTCCCCAGCACTGAGATCATAGGAATGTGCCACTATGTCCAGTAAACCTTCTCATTAAAATTCATTGCCCAACTGGGCAGTGGTGGCACATGCCTTTAATCCCAGCACTTGGGAGGCAGATGCAGGTGGATTTCTGAGTTTGATGCCAGCCTTGTCTACAGAGTGAATTCCAGGACAGCCAGGGCTACACAGAGAAACCCTGTCTTGAAAAACAAACAAAACAAAACAAAACCAAAATCATTGCCCAAGGCTGAGTGTAGGGGTTCACAGCTTTAGTCTCAGCACTCAGGAGGCAGAGGTGGGAGGATCTCAGTGAGTTCCAGGCCAGCCTGGTCTATATCAGCAATAGCAAGTTCCAGGACATCCAGAACTATAGAAAGAGACACTGTCTTAAACAACTAAAAAATAATTTAAAAAAAATCACCATCCAAGCCATGGTGGTTCACATCTGTAACCATCTGTACTCTCTTGCTGATGGTGGTTGGAGTGAATTTGAGGCACCCTTGGCCTACATAGCAAGTTATAAACTAGCCTGGGCTACAAGTATGAGACCTGCCTCTCCCCCAATCCACAACTAATAACAATAATAAAATAACTGGGTGTATTACCCTTAGGAAGTCGAGGCACAAGGATCAGGAGTTCAAAGTCAATCACCAATAAATAGTGCAGTTGAGGCTAGACAAGGCTAGGCTAAAATTTACAAGTCAGAGGCTCCTGGAGGTTAAAGAGGTGATCTTTGTTTGATTTTTGAAAGTTTTGCATTTGGGGGTTTTGGTTGTTTGGGGGTTTGTTGTGTGTGTTCAGACAGGGTCTCATTGGTCCAGACTGGAATTAAATTGTTGCACCACTATGCCCAGCTCCAACACTTCCTTAAGATGGTGAAAGCCAGGCACGTTGGCGTATGCTTGTAATCTCATCATGCTGCAGATGACTGAAGAAGAAGAGGACTGCTTCAGGTTTCAGCCTGGGCTGCAAAGTGAGTTAGAAGCCAGCTCCAGTACAAAAGTGAGATCTGTCTCAAAAACGCAAACTGTGGAAGCGCTCTACAAGTGTTTTAAAGATGGCGGGTTGACTGGAGAGTGGAGTTCTTCTCTCTAACCAGTAGTGAAATTACGAAGTTTTAAAATCAAGCGTCAATCCTATGAACTGGGACTACATTTTGCCTGTCAAACTGCTTGTTGGGAAAACTTTCTGTGCTGCTTCCCTACGTCCCCGAGCACACACAGAAGTATAGGAAAAAATTGGCTCCAGATCCAAGTAGGGGAAAGGTCTCTTATTCTTGGTAAGCCGTGAGCTGAACAGATTCCAACTGGCAGGGCTGGAACTGGCTGTCCCAATATCTTGGGTGCCAGGGGTAATGCCCTCCCCTCATCCAAACCTTCACTTCAGAACCAAAGAACACTAAAACATGGAACCTCCGTGTGCAAGTAAGTTTTCCCAGCACTTTACTAATTGAGGAGACAGAGGCCCATGCCCTGCATGAGCAGAAGGCCTGAGAGCAGTCCTGAAACCCACAATCCCTCCAGCTGACCTTGTTTGAGAACTTTCTTCCTAGCCTCCTTGTCGGTCACCAGGGGTTCAGGGGGCCGCTTGACATCCTCCGCGAAGGGGTTCGGGGAACTTCGAGCGAAAAGGCTCACATAAACCCTGTGGAGAACCACCAGCAGCAGCACGGCCAGTAGCAGAGCAGTGATCCACATCTTGCCGCCAGGACTCGGAAGATCGCGTCCTTTCCCTCTGAGCTCGGCTTTTATAGCTGAGGCTCCGCCCCTCTAGTTTGTCCTCATAGAAATACCAGACAAGGAAGGGTCGAGGCATTTTGACTCACGCCCGCGCAAAACTGATGAAGATTGTCCACCCTGCATCTCCGTATGACCTTTGCGGTGCAGGATTTCAATTGCCTCATGGGAAATGTAGTTCTAGCGCGAGACAGCCAACACTGCACGCCTGCGCGATGAGGGGGATGTGTGACACCCTCCCACCCCCCACCGGAACGCTGGGGACGCGTCCGGTGAGCCCGTGGTGGGGGTGGGGGGTGAAGGAGGTGAAGGTGAGGGGGACGATGTGGGGTGGAAGTGGTCACCGCGGGGCCACAGAAGGCTGAAAGTTGCAGGTCTGAGAGAGATCCGGTCTGGGAGGCAGAGAAGACCTGGGTCTCTGGAGCCTGCTCTGCGATGGATTTGCTGAAACCTCGGAGGCAATTCATTGCTTTTCTTCCCTCTCCTCTTCCAAGCAGTGAGAAAGTTTCTGTCCCCACACAGCCTCTGTCTGGGTATCTCGATGAGTTGAGACCTTGTTGAGACCTGCACAGGAGCTCCCCTGAACCTGTGTCACTCACTGCCCCAAAACTGGCAGCCGCACACGGGTCCCCGACGTTACCCCTAGCTGGATCCCCTAATCTTAACCACTCTATCGGTGTCTCAAAGTACAGAGCTACCTAAGAACAAGTCTCAAGAAAGACTAAGTCAAGGACCATCTTAACTATGTGTGCATTTGCATGTAAGGACGTAGCAGTTTCCAAATCAGCTTTTCAGAGGGTTTAAGCTCCAGCAGACGGTCTAGATATCCTACCGTCTTAATGTTGCCCTTTGAGGAAAGTAGGTCTGAAATACAGACTTGACTTAAGTGGGATTTGTTTGTTTAGGAGGCCCATTTCCTCGAGTACCCACTATCAGGAGGAATGACTTCATTGAGTATTTTGTCCTTATTACAGGCCCCAGCAGTGCTCCAGTCTGGTATGTAAAGCTGGTCATGCTTCTGTGCCACTTGGTTCGTTTTCCACTCAGTAACAGGAAGGCCTTCCCGAGACTTTGTCATACCTACCTGTTACACTGCCAGGTTAGCTGGTGTGTGTGTGTGTGTGTGTGTGTGTGTGTGTGTGTCTTATCCTATGTTGTCATTCAGGCCAAAATGGAAGGAAAGGGAAAGAGAGGTAGATGCTGAGGTTCCAGGGGGAGCTAGTTCCTGGGGTGCTGCAGGTATATTACCACCGTCCTTCCTAGATCACAGCCAGCCAGGTGTCCAGCCCAAAAGCTTGTTTGTTACTGGCAGTCAGTCCTTGGGGAATGGAATATTCCCTTAGTGGAGGACTGACTCTGTGGACAGGCTGACTTAGTCCTCTGAGTCTGGGAAGTATGATTGTCAGTGTGTAAGAACCATCCACTCACATTTTCCCCCTCAGTATTAGGGACTGAGCCTTATTGCCTGCCACTAAGCTGCAATCCCAGCCTTTCCACACTGACTCTTTGGTGTGTGGGTGTGAGTATGCATGCCCATGTAGGAACAGAAAGACCAGGGGGACTGTAAATTGCCCTGTTCTGTTACTCTGTGCCTTACACCTTTGAAGTTGGGTCTCTGACTGAATGTGGAACTAGGCCCAGTGACCAGCAATCCTTTTATCTTCATTTACCAGAACACTAGGGAGCCAAACCCACGTCTTTACCCTGAAGCAAGCTCTCATGCCCACTGAGTCATCTTCCCAGGCCCCTTGTGGTTTGTTTTTTTATTTTTATTTGTTGGGGGTGGGGGTGAATGGAGCAGTGTGTGCCATGGTGCATGTGTGGTGGTCAGGAGACAATTGCTTCTTTCCTTCTACCAGTCTCCTAGGTTCCCCCTAGGGACTGAACTCAGGTCATCAGGCTTGCCAGCAAGCACCTTGACCCACTGAGCCATTTCACCTGCCTTTGTTTTGTTTTTTTATTGATACAAAGTCTTGCTATGTAGTCTCAGCTAGCCTGGAACTCTATGTAGATCAGGCTGCCCTCAATTGTACAGTGATTCTCCTGCCTCTGCTTCCAGATTTCTAGAAATCTAGGCATGGGCATACATTCATGGGGGTGCACACCACCATGGTGAGGATGATCTCTGGTTTTTGTTTTTTTCTAGTTGTGGGGATTGGACCCGGACATCACATGTGGTAAGCAATAGCTTTACCTCGGATCTGTATCCCAGCCTTGTGTTTGGTTTTGACTCTGACACATCAATCCTCCCCCTAAGACCTAGAGACTCTTGTTCATGAGAAGGCTGTCTCCTCGTGACACAGACTTTTGATGTGATCGGATCTTTGTCCGGCTCTTTTCCTGAGGCAGGCATCATGAGATGAAAGAGCAGGGCTAGAGTGCCTAGCTTTTGTCTCCATCCTTGAGAAGTAGAAGCACGCCTCAGCTACATGGCAAGTGTGAGGCCAGAGTGAACATCTATAATACCTTTTCTGTATATCTGTGTCCTTATTGAGAAAGGGGGAGGGAGAGGGGAAGAGGTCCTCATCCGTTAAGAACATTTGTTGCCCTTGCAGAGGACCAGGAGTTGGCTCTCAGCACTTACATGGCAGCTCACAACCATCTGTAACATCCAGCTTCAGGGGCTCCAATACCTTATGGACATCTGCACATACATGGCAGACACACTCATACACATGAATACATGAAAAAAAATACATTTTTAGAATATTGGGTGTGGTAACACATCCTTGTAATCCCAGCATCAGGAAAGTAGATACAGGCAGCTCTCTAAAGCGCATTGGCTGGCCATCCCAGAGTGCTCATTTGGTTCCAGGCAAATAAGAGAGATCCTGTCTCAAAAAATTAAGGTTAACAGAGCCTGAGGGACAACAGTTAAGGTTGTCCTCTTTGCCCATTCTCACAAACGTGTACACTTGCACACATATGAACCTTGAACATACATACACGAGCTGATCTGGAGGGGTAGCTCAGTGGTAGAATATTCATCTGGCATGCATGAAGATCTGAATTTGATCCCCAACACCAGCACTGCACCATAATTGCACGCACATTGCTGCCCACAGTTTCTCACACACAGAGAGAGCTGACCAGTTTGGCTTGGCCAGGTTAGGACATCATCTTGCATTTTGAGTTTTTCCATCATTCTAGGAAACAGATCCAATATTGTAGGCCCACAGCTCCACCTGTGTCTAGGATCTGAAAAAAAACAGTACAGCCACCAGTCAGTCTTACCTCCAATAAGCCAGCTAGGTCATAGTGATGTCATGGCCAGAAACAGAACCCACTTGTTAAAACAGTGCCACTGTTTTCTAGACACTGACAATCCACCCCACCACCAGTCCTCTGTAGGGTCCCTCCAGTCCTACAGTGTGTGCAGTAAATAGTAAACATCTGGCTAAGTATCTTGTTTATTTAGAATTAATTCACAGTTGCTTAAAGATTTTAAAAGTTTTTTCCCTCTGGTTCAGAGAGAGGCATGACTGAATGATGAAGCCAGTCCCCCCTACCCTGTTTCTGTTTTTCCAGAGTGAGGCTCTACGGCTCCCAGGGGCTCCTTTCAGGACTCATAGAAACCTTCTGCACCTTGGTGATGGCACAAAGGGACTGTTTTCTTACTTAATGACTGCCAAGAAGGAAGGTGAAGGTAGACCGCTTGTCTCTCCTGGTGGCTTCGAGCCTCAGACCGTGGCATCGAACCCCTTTCAGAGCCCGAGGACAAGGCTCACCTGAACTAGTGATCAGAGTCATGAGTAAAACATCTTGCTCTTTCCTTACTGAGAAAGACTTTCAAGATGGACAGGTGAGTGCTCCTACTTGTGAAAGAAGGTTCTGGCTTGGAGATATACTGTTAATGAGACAGAGACTGTGCAATTTTAGAAATATTGAGGGGAAACGATCTTTGTTGTAGGCAATTCTGGGCTGAAGGTAGAGTTCAGCAGTAAACCATTGGCTACAGGTTCCATCTCCATGAGAGACAGACAGACAGACAGACAGAGAACAGAGACAGGAGGGTCTAGGCCATCATGGTGGGACACCTGTGAGCCTAACACTTGGGAGGTAGAGACAGCAGGGTGTGGACTTCAAGCTCACCCTCAGCCACAAGTCAGCCTGAGCTACAGAGACCCTGCTTAAAACAGAAGCGGCTGTCCCCCTGCAGGTGGGACCTTGTTTTCTGAGCAGCTCACAGAACCTTGATTCCTTTTGCTGGGGCTGGGGAAGGAGAGAGCATCTGAATTCCCTAATGTCAGTATGGCATGGACTCATCAATCAACATCCTGTCCTCTTCCCTGTCTACCACTGGCTTTGGCAGACTGTCTTTCTTAGCTGTCTGTTGCTGTGATAAACACCATGACCAACAGCAGCTTGGGGAGGAAAGGGTTTATTTCACTCATAGCTTACAGTCTATTACTGGGGGAACTTAGAGAAGGAATCTGGAGGCAGGAGCTGAAACAGAACCATGGAGGGGGAGGGGTGCTGCTTACTGATTAGCTCCTCAGGCTCACACTCAGCCTGCTTCCTTATATCTCCCCGTACCCCTGACAAGCACTGCCCACGGTGGCTGCCCCCCCATCAGTTGGTAGTCAAGAGCATTTCAGCCAGGCAGGGTGGCATATATACTTAATCCCAGCACTCAGAAGCCAGAGACAGGCAGAGATCTCCATGAGTTCAAGGCCACCTGGGTCTACATAGTGAATTCTAGTCCAGCCAGGGATACAAAGTGAGATTCTGTCTCAAAAGAACAACAAAAACAACAGCCTTGTCTAAAGGTCAGTACGACAGAGGCATCTTCTCAGGGGAGGGTCCCTCTTCACAGATGGCTCTATTTTATGTCACGTTGACTAACAACTAGGCAGCGTACTGGCCACCACCCTGAGGGCTCCTGTTCTGCACAGTCACAGTGTATGTCCACGTGAGCCCGGCAGTCAGTCCTACATCCTGGACCTTCCCCTTCGTCTTGCTGGCCAGAAATGGGATTCCAGAGCCAGAATTCAGACAAAGCATTTCTGGGGTCTCCAGGGAGATCATGCTCAGAAAAGAACAAACTGTTCTTTCTCCTAAAAGGAAGTCTCTAGAAGGGGACTGAAGTGTAGACAGAGAAGAATGTAGTGTTCTTTATATATAACGTCAGGAATTACCAAATATTACTGAGAGAATTTCAATAAAAAAGTATAGCTGTATCTTGTATCTCGTACTGTGCTGTTGCCTATGGAGAACATCAAAGGCATGTCTCTATGTTGCCTTTTGCAGGGAAACTTGGGTTGCATGCAAGGGCTTTGGAGTCTTAGAGACGGAGCTAGAGAGACACTGGCTGTTCTTCTAGAGGACCCGTGGCACACGGCTCATAAGCACCTATAACTGCAGCTCCAGGGGACCCAAAGCCCTTTCTGCCCTCTGCAGGCTGAACACACATGCCATAAACTCACACAGATATACACACCGAATTTTAAAAATCCGGGTGTGGTGGCGTACCCCTTTAATCCCAGTACTTGGAAGGCAGAGACAAGTGGATCTCTGTGAGTGAGTCAGAAGCCAGCCTGATTAACTTAATAAGTTCCCTGCCAGCCAGGCAGCCTCGTTAGACCCTGCCTCAAAATAAAATATGGAGCTGGAGAGGTGGTTCAGTGGCTAAGAGCACATGCTTCTTAGCCGGGCAGTGGTGGCGCATGCCTTTAATCCCAGCACTGGGAGGCAGGCGGATTTCTGAGTTCGAGGCTAGCCTGGTCTACAGAGTAAGTTCCAGGACAGCCAGGACTTATACAGAGAAACCCTGTCTCGAAAAACCAAAAAAGAAAAAAAAAAAATAGAGCACATGCTTCTCTTGTAGAGGATCCAGGTTCAGTCCCGGTACCACATGGTGGGTCACAACCACCTGTAGTTCCAGTAACCGGGCGTCTGATGCCTTCTGCCTCTGACGGTACCAGGGATGCGTGATGCTTGAGTATGAATTTTGTAGGTGACAAAGTCTGTTGCAAGGTGAAAGGTTAGCTACATCAGCATCTGGTGACTTGAATCCTTTGACCCTTCTAATCAAAAATAATTTTTTATCCTGTTTTTTGACCTTTGATAGTCTGACTATTAAAACATTACCTCAGAATAGTTCATATGCCATTTATTTATATGTATCAATCAGGTTTCTCTAGAGAACAGAACTGATAGAATGAACACACACACACACACACACATACAGATTTATTAGAGTGGCTTACAGGGTGTGTTCCAGCTAGTCCATCTGAAAGTCCAAGAATGCAGTAGTTGTTCAGTCCATGAGGCTAGAGTCTCTGCTGGTCTTCAGTATATACCAGAATCAGGAAACAGGCTCTAGTGGGAGTGAGGACAAGCAGGCAGGGCTAAAGCTTCCTTCCTCACAATTTTTCTTTAGGCTGCCAGTAGAGGTGTGGGCCAGGTTTAAAGTGGTCTTCCCATTTCAAATGATCCAGTCAGGAAAAGCCCTCACGGGTGTGTGCATCCAGCCGCTCAGCTTTTACTTAATCCCAGATGTAATTAAGTTGACAACCAAAAATTGTCATCATAGCGTGGTTTTAAAAAATACTTGGGGCTAGAAAGATTGCTCAGCAGTTAAGAGAACTTGCTGCACTTCCAGAGGAACCAAGTTCACTTCCGAGAACCCACGTCAGAGGACTGTGACCAAGAGATCTGTTCCCTTTCCTTGAGCGCCTGCACACACATGACAGACTTGGATACACAGACACACAGACACACACACATGCACATGAAAGTAAGGGAAGTTTTAAAGATAATAACGTGCTTTTGAGCTAGGGAGCAGGGTTAAGAGCCGTGCAACATGAGGACATGAGTTTGGATCCCCAGAACCCATGTAAAGCCAGACATGGTGGCCTGTGCCTGCAATCCCTACAGTGAAATGGGAGGTGGAGATGAGAATCCCCTGAAGTGCCCGCTAACCTGGCTAGAGACCGTGCCTTAAAGCCAAAAGCCAGATGGGGAGTGAGGAGAGGTACTTGAGGTTGGATTCTGACAGGCACACATGTACCTACATATACCTCACATTTGAAATTCTTTAAAATGATACTTCCTTTTGTGTAAATCAGGCATTGCCTGTAGACTTTTTGTGGTGGGTTGTTGTTGTTGTTGTTTGGGGTGTGTGTGTGTGTGTGTGTGTGTGTGTGTGTGTGTGTGTGTTAGGCCAATCTTGCTTTGTAGCCTAGGCTGGTCCCCTAAAGCAGCATCCTCCCATCTCAGCCTCCTGAGTGCTCAGATGGTAAGGTGGCTTACCAGTCCAGCTTGGCTGGTTGGTTGGTTTGTGGATATGGTTGGTTGATTTTTTGAGACAAAAATCCCTCATGTGTGTTTTTCACATTTATTTTATTAATCCTTCAAGAATTGTGTACATGTATACAATATATTTGATCATATTTGCCCCCTACTTCTGCCCCTAAGTCTTTCCAGAAACACCCCTGGCCCCTCCTAAACTCATGACCTCCCTTTCATTTAGAAAATAACCACCCAGCAAGTCCAGTGTGTGCTGCTCCAGTGTTTGTGGGTGTACAGAGAGCAGATGGGGCGTGCGGATCTGCTGGGGCCCACACACGGTAGAGAAAACTCTCTCTCCCTCTCTGTCATGTGGGCTTTTGGTTTATTGTTGTTTTTAACTTACTGGTTTATACAATTTTTTTCCCTACCATGTTAGGAGGATTAGCCCACATCTATGGTGTGATGTGAGTGGGATCGGTCACACCTCTGCCTGTGATGTGAGTGGGG